TCAGAGTAAATTTTACAACGGTATTACATGTTAACAACAAAAGCAAATGCCCTATGGGCTTACAGCTTTCCAAGTCAACACTTGGTTACACAAAAGAAGAGTGCTAACTCTATACAAAATAAGCCCTTGGCTTGATATACATGTAATACAGACAAAATAATTAAAAAGAGTCTTCAACTCTCATCATCATCCAAGCTATGTCCTTGGAGGTGGCATGCTACATGTACCTGAAAATAATGTCCCATATAGAGTGAGCCAACGCCCAGTAGAGATATGCTAAACACAGCATGAGCAATAACTAAGACATTAGCAATTGATAAATGTTCAATTTCCACCAATCAATTCATAATCCATTTCCATTTCATGACCCCTATGTTCGTGTTTCATTTCATTTTCCATGTCACATCAATTTCACAATTTACATCAACGGCTCAGAACCTGACCAACCACGTGTATGAGACAGTGACTCATATTAAACGTTTTCCCATTTTACAATAGATAAACATACTAGTTGTATCAACATCTCAACAGATAAGCATACAAGCTGTATCCACATTTCAATAGATAAGCATATTAGCTATATCAACACTTCCAAAGATAAGCATATGAGCTGTATCAACACTTCCATAGATAAGCATATGAGCTGTATCACCACATTATCTGACAAGCATATGAGCTGTATCAGTGGAGTCCATCCCCTATCTCCTCCCAAACAACATCCGGTTTAGAGGTCCATCCCCTATCTTCCCCTAAACCGTGGAGTACATCCCCTATCTCCTCCCATACACACAACGTATATACACATAGGTCATATACACAATCAATCAATACATAACGTTAATGTATTCTATCACCCGTTATACTCTATGACATAACCAAATGATTAGTTTTAGTTTGCTTAATCATCATGCATTGTCCATAACAATCAAAACTACCCTCCACCGGTAGCCCAAGCAATTATTTCTAAACAGATAATAAAAGCTCCAACAGATAAAATATCAATGTTTTCAAAAGTGAGCGATTAACAAATCCAACTCCACTATTCTACCATATAATGAGCCAATTTCATTATTTCCAACTCAATTCCACAAATCCACAATTTTCCCAAATTAATTATACCGATTAATTTATACAACAAATTAGGGTTTTCTACCCCATTTCCCAATATTGACCCAATGGTCTATATATCAACAACCAACATCAATAATACCATTTTGAAACCCAAAATACATATTGTGAGCCCAAAGTCACAAACCCTCTTTAACACATTTTGAAACCCTAAGTCCCAAAATTAACCATTTAAACAATAAGCTCAAAATCTAGGTTAAAACCCATAAGAGTGAGTAGGAATCACTACCTCAAAAGATGAAACCCAACGAAGGAGATGACGAAAATGAAGATGCTCCAAATCACAAATTTCTCGGATCAAAAGATAGCCCTCGACGATCAACAACCTTTTTGTAAAGGCCAAA